ATACTTTCCAGAAGCCTTTGAGCCAGTAAACTGAATGATTTTTAGACCATTCTAATTCATAGGTAGCTTCTTACGTCTACCTTGTTATACATACAGGTGACATATACCACCAGTCAGTGCTTAACTAAAGAGCGGGTCTTTGGGAGGGGAACCACTGAGTCAGCAGGCCAGGTGTTTAACTGCCTTCTTCCTGCTCGCCAGGGGCTGAGGACAAACCTGATGTAGGTCTCACTGACCTACAAGCCCCGAGTTCTGTTACCACGGCAACATGGAGCACCAAGGTCATAAACTCCATGTATTCCACCTGACCTCCAGACCCTGTGCTTTAGGCCAACTAATTGGCTCATCATCCAGGACTGGCTTCTAAAGGCACAGCGCCAACAGGACAGTGAGGGCAAAGGATTCTTCCATTGTGACAGGCAGCACACTTGCAGGTCAGGTCATTTTCATAGTCCTGGAAGGCCGAGTTAAATCAACATTAGCAAGAGATACGTTACAACGCGCACCTGTTTCAACTTTGGGCATTTTTCCCGAGAAATCAGAAACCTGTGCCGCTTGTCTGTAGTTAATTTAAACATATGGTATCTTTCAGGACGCCACCCAAAGTCAGGGGTGTCAATCTCCAGTCCTGGGGGGCTGGAGTCCTGCACATTTTTGGGTTTCCCCTCATTTAACACACCTGATTCAACTCCTTGTGCTAATTACCACACAGCTCTTGAGCTGGATCATTTGTGTGGGAACAGGGAAAGAGCTAAGCTACACAGGGCTCTGGCCCCCCAGGACTGGAGTTTGACACCCCTGCCCAAAGTCATGACGGAGTTATCCGACACCCTGTGTCATGTGTTTCCACTGGTTCCACGAATCAACTGTTTGTTTACAAAGGAAAAAGTAAAAAATGGACGATGACATTCAGCAACATCAGAGGAGAAGACCCACAACGTACCATTACTAAAACTCAGACGACACTCTTTTCAAAGTCAAGAACTATTCTTTCATTGTTATAGCTAATTCCATTAGTATCAACGAACAAAAAAAAAAACATAATCCACAAAATGATATACGTGCGTCATTAAGGAAAGTCGACGCTAACTGAAAGCTTGCCGGATCAAAACGGGGAAACTTCAAATCATATCCTAATCCAAGACACAGTGTCTTTCTTGCCATTGAGAACCATGGATCCTGACATTTCATTTCTCCACGTAACCTTTAACTTCAAGGGCTCTCAAAATGTCAGCTTTACAAAGAACACAATTCATGTTCACAGAATAATGCGTCCAACAATAGAAAAAATAGATGTTAAAAAATATATATACAAATTCGATATTTGATTTTAAAGTGTTTTCCGGGTTTTTTATTTGGATAAAATTACTGGTCTGGGTTGAGAATGACAGAAAGAGAATGGGTGTTATTCATGTTCAAAAAGATCTGTCAAATGAATACTGTATAATTTTGGACTAAGTGGATAAAAAATATATATTTCACATAAGAAAATTTGTCAAAAATATGGCACACTGAACTAATCTAATTTACATTTATATGAACCTTTTCAATAGCCAATTATTTCCATAATCTACAAGTCTCATAACTCACCAGGAATCCAAAATCCTTTAAATGCAATTGCTTCAGAGGCAAAAAATTGCTATAAAAATAAAATGTTTCTACCAAACAAAATGGTCCTTGTACAGTGTTTAATTTAGATGGACAGTGGTGTGTCACTGCCATAACTTCAGGGCATCAAACTTCCAAATACACTTAATCCACAAACATTTCCTTTGAAATAACTCCACCTCCCGTCAGGTATCACCGTCGCCATGATAACACCCCCTCCCAGTCCTGCGACGGAAACAGGACCTTACGCGGCAAATGTGACATTTTCCTTTTCATTCACGCTCTGTGTACATGTTAAAGCCAATGCTTGTATGAGGCACAGAGAAAAGTATAAATATTGACAGTCATTCAGTTAGGTTTGGTACCTGTATCTTTTGATCTTAAACCAACAGCCCTGTCGTCTTTTCCTGGATCTGACTGCATGACTCCTGCTGCTATGGAGTATATCTTGCCATAAACCATATTAATGTGTTGCAAATATGGGCCATATATTTTTTTTTTATGAAAAAGCTTGTCTTTAGGACTGAGATTCGCATCCCTGGCAACCTCAACCCCTCCAGGAAGAGAGCCAGCTGAACATATTTCGGGGGGGGGGGGAGGGGGGGCAGGAACAGCGTGTTGACAATCAAGCCCACTGCGGAATCATCATCATCGAGCGGAATGCAGGTACCAGCAGTGGCGGCCTGGTTCCACAGCGAGTCTTCTCGGTTCCCTACCTCGACGCGCAGGTCCGAGTCAAAGCGGATCAGGAGTCAGTGTCAAGTGTGGGAGCACTCCCAAACGCAAACTCTCCGCAGTGGGAACTCTGCTGCCAATTCAGTGCGTGTCACCGGTGTCCCCAATACAAGGTGGCACCCTGCTGAAGGACAACCAAACTACCTCCAATCTTATTCCTAAAACAAACATATGGATTTAAACCAAATCTCCTTAAGGTGGGAAGAAAGACTGGTCAAGCCCAATGAAAAGTCCAGCTGTGTGTCTAAAAATAGCCGCTGTTCATAGGTTGACGTTAGAGATAAGAGTGAAATACAGCCCCGCATTCACTTCCTTGTAGAGACCTTTGGGTTGGGGTGGGAGGGGCAGGAATGCAGTAGCTACAGGCTGCTGGAGGGTACACAGAGAAATCACCCACCCCCCCAGGCCTGTCCATAATAGGCAGGGGCCCTTAATCTAAAGTAGGCAAATGGAGTGGTTAATTAGCATAGCATACTCTTAGGATCAATACCCATAAAGACTGAGGTGCCTTTCTGGAAACCCATTGTCATACTAGCCTTGTGGCGACAGTCTTTCCTCTCATTCTCTACTTCCTTCTTCATTCCTCCCTCTTTCACAAACGTTCTAAATCGCTGGCATTCCAACGTAAGATACTTATTATTTTTAGATACTTTTGATCAGTGTCATGTGACCCTGGTGTCATGTGTGTCATGTGACATGGACTGTCGAGTTCCAGCGGCCACAGTCGGGGGAACTTGCTGCCCCCTGAGAGCTCGACTGAGACTAAGACTTCGGCCTGGAAGTCAGAGTGCCGGTCGTGAAGCGGGAGTGTGGCGAGCCTTTGAAGGGAGAGGCCTTTGTTCGGAAGGCTTAACTTTAAACTCTCCTTGAGGACTATGAAATGGGATTGACCAATGGACCTGATCTCAAAGATGCACTCTCTGCCAGGGTTAACTGTGAATAAAGATTAAAACAGGCATTCTGTAATCTCTAACCCCCCCCCCCTTCCCCATCCACCTTCTTGTCCTGCCCCAGTCAGGCAGACAAGGGGGACACCAGTTGGGGGACAGCGAGCCTCTTTGATTTGGCCCCTTCTTGACTATTCATAACGTTCAGTGTCAAAGCACAGGAGTTAACCGCCTCCCGGTTCTGGAGAGGGACTCTTGATAAACCATCTGGGAAAAGAAATGGCAGCTTCAATATAGCAAGAATTTCATTTTAAATTGAATTTCAGCAAAGCTATCCATCTGGACTTCTTTTAAAACGTAGCCAGATATGCATAATTGCTATAGATTTTATATATGTATATTTAGTCTACGGTCCAGGCAATTACATTTCCCCCCATACTGATTAGAGGACTTGTTTGAGAACAGATACACTTAAGAGTCCATCTTTGAAGATTTAACTGGACACTTGACAGATTAAAAACTTCGAGCAGAATCTCTTTAGGTGGAAGCGGGACTCAGAAAGGCTTTCTCCACAGACATTAGACGGGCCTATAGCCAGGGTGAGCCCTACGTACCAACTCAAGCGTTTCTTTGATCAGACTTCGACCTTAAAGGCAAAACTCAGCAGAAATCAGAACTTCACGTTTGGACCTGGGACACTGCAGCACCTTGGGCACCACAGAACACGGAGAGTCGCGGTTAAATGGAAATTTACGCACAAAAACAGATGAGCGCACTTGTTTCGCCCAAAAATTCACTGCATCTTTAAATGTACGATAAACTATACTTAAACATCCATATTAAGTCTGTAAACAAATTAAGTGAAAAAGTACATCTGAAATTAGGATTTTAGAAAAAGGAAAATTCAAATTCTCCAATTATATATAGTTTTAGCTGGCCCAGCCACAAATGTACTGTAGGTGCAGTTTCCCGGTGCAGAATAACCAGCAATCCCAGCTTGTGGCCAGTTTAACTACATGACCCATTAGATGCTAAAGCGGGGGACCAGTTACGAGACACAGGCCAACATAAACAGGGAATGGCGTGTTCGGGATGCCAGCGTCAGGAAGTTCTAAGGGAAGGAGGGTGGCGAGACAGACAGTCAGTCAGAGACAGTCGCTGTGTGGCCCGATCGCTCCGCTCTCTTTGATCCGCGACTCCCTGCACCCCCCCCCCACTGTCTACCTGCGCCCAGGACCCAGAACCCTTATCGGCAGAACTGGCAAACGAGCGTGATTTTCAGAGTTATCCAGCTTCATCTCGTGCAGCCCGATATTCCTCCTCCCTGTTCACCGTTTCCCGCTACTTCCAGAGCAAAAATGATCCGGCTGCCGCCGGCACCCAGAAAAGCATCAGGAACGAGTCAGAATGCGGAGTCGTGAAATTCCGATAAAACTGCGTAGCGTGTTCCGTTTACCCAGCTGCCCCTGTGCCGCCTGTCACGGCGGACAGATAGGCAGGCTTGTGGGGGGGGGCTGCCCGGTCGATGTCGCGTTAACATCCCCCGCATGTCCCCCTGCTGCCAGTGACAGTTTTACTGTGGGGGGCTGGCATTCTTCACCGTCACTTAACGTCCTTCAATCACGAGCAAATAAACGTTCCACCTCCGATAAAGACGTTTATCCATGGGGTGGCGACCACTGCTCAAACCGTACTTCATGCCGGTGGGTTAAATAAATCCGGAAGGCCGCGTACTGAACAACAAACGAGTAACAAATAAGCTCAACTTACCACTTAAACTGGGACTCTGCACGTCTACGGGGTATCGCTCTGTTAGGCCTTTTACTATGGTAACTGCTGTGACATACTTCATCCTGTAGGAACAAAGGCAACAAAATTAAAGTGTAACAAGCCTCAAAATATCCACAATTTGAACGCATTTCTAGACAAAATCTGAGCACTTCCCTTCCGGAAGGACTGACACCGTTTTACGTTCACCCCCTTAGACTTAGCTTTTCTGTGAGATCCTGGGGCATTGCTAGGGCTGTTTTAGGGGGGCTGATGCCCCCCAAATAAATGTACACTAATTCATTTAAACAGAGCATTCACGGTCATTTTCATTCAAATCAGACCCCCCTAAAAAAGGCTTGGTCCCCCTTTTCATAGATCTACAGAGCTGCTGCGATCTAGATCCATGCTGTGAGAAATGATCAAAAACAGAAAACTCAGGCAACAGTACGCACAAATTACAGGTAATTTCTGATTCCTTACATTCTCTTTCTGAGGCATGTTTAATGTTTAGGATTGACTCTGCCCAGCCTCTCTGGTTGACAGGCTCTCGTGGGCTGTATTTGGGCGTCGGTTCCCTTTCAGGGTATTGCCCCTCCAGGACCAGCAGGGCTGACAGGGTAACAGGGTAACGCTGATCCCTGCAGCGTCTCTGGCAAGTTTCACCTCCTAAAGATTCATTACGAGCCGCGGGCCCGGGCGGGCCCATCCGCGTCACCGTGTGCGGCCATTCGGATCGGGCCTGGTCCATTTGAGCGGTCACACTCGGCGCGCACGGGATTGGATCACGCGGAGGTCAGGCCCGGCGGTGCCCCCCGCCCCTCGGCATGCCGGCGAGGCTGTTGGGGGTGGGGGGGGGGCACTCCAGCTGACCTCCAGGTCAGGAGGCATTTCCATGACAACGCAAAGCATCCCTTACATCCTTTCTCAGTGGACACAGATCAAAACCAAATAAAAATACACCCTCAGAATTCCATCATGTGTTGTCATCACACACACCCTCTACACTTTACATTTCTGCCTCGTACTTCAGCATATTCTGGCGTCATCTTAGTCGATGTTATTCGCCTGGCAACTTTGTCACGCTGTCACCGTACCCGCACTCCTCTTGAATCGAGTACGCTGCCCCCCCCCACCCAACCCGCCGCCTCCAGCCCCCTGCCACTGATGCACGAAAACATGGTCCAGCGGTACTTTTGAGCCGCCAATTGACTACAGCTGATTGGAAAGGTATCATGTACCAGGGACACAAATCAAGCAGCTTATTGCTCCTCCGATGCCAGAAAATTCCATTATGGCCAGTGCCGGGAGGCCTCGCCGTCCCAGCAGGACCAGCCACACGTGAAAGGGGCCTGAGCACGGACGAGCAAGGTGGTCTTGCTTGGCTCGGCACCGCGTGTGTGACAAGACACCCCCCCCCTTTTAAAAAGACAAACATCATCAGCACCAAGACAAAAACTCCAAAACAAAAAATCTGCAGACTTGCCCGGACAGCAAGATGTGACCGTGATGCCTCACAACTAGAAACCGCTGAGATGACGAAAGACAATATGGGAAAGAGGGAGAGATTCTGACTGTCACAGCATGAGTGAAGACGGGAAACATGGGCAAGACCTGCACTCCACTCCAGATTTCTCACAGTCAGGATAAATGATCTTAATTTCGTCTTTTTTTTTTCTTGTTGGATTTGCAAGCACCCTCCATCTTTGTAGGAAGCTCGCAGACATAGGAGTGGTAAAACCATAAACAAACAAAGATGTAGGCGTTTAGATTGGGCTGCGGCAGCAGAACACAGCTCATTACACCGGAGCAATAATCCAGAGCTCAATGTGCCGACATTGGGCGCAGTGCAACCCTGGCACACCGGCACCGAGGAACAAGCCCACTGTTTACGTAACATTTACACGGAGAGCTCCTGATTGGGAAGGATCCGTGCACATCGACCACGTTTTCAACCAGCCTTGTGTTTTTGTTAGTCAAGAGGACGACGAATACGTCTATCCATTGATCCATTCATCCATAAACCGCTTTGGCGTTACTGTGCAGCAGTAAGCAGAGAGCCAATCCCAGGCAGGAGACACCCGGGATGGGCAACAACTGAGGCCAATAAGGAATTCTGTATGATGCCATCACATCAAACTACATCAAATGAATGAATTAACTATACTACACAATACCGATTACTGAGAATTGTAATATACATGACTACATCCTTGGTCGTCGTTCAAATTCACCATAGTATTCCTGCCTAAGTGGATACACAAGGCTCGTCTTTGTATTTTGACGGGAACCGAAGTGACCGTCTAACACGGAGAAGCCCGAAAGTCACCCGAAAGGCCTCCCAGAATCAGCACTCCTACACGAGCATTGCGTTTGCTGATCGGGCAAGCACACCCCTCACCCTCTCCTGGGAACTAGGACATAAGCACACAAAAACGTTTGCTTTGTCCTAAAAGGTTCCTAAAAACTCCACACGACTACCAGCGGGGTGTTGACTAACCAACGGCAGATAGAGATTATCACACTATTACCCAAAGCCATTTCCCATTTACCCTCTGAACCGGCTAGTGAATTACAAATACTAAAGATGTCACAAAGGGTCAGATTCACAGACACGTGTGTGTGATGTAGAGACCCTCAAATATACACTGACTTTTGACACTCTAACATACACAGGATAGGGCCTGTAAGGCTATACAGTATTTATATCCAGTATTTATGTTGATTTTCAACACGGATTACCAGTGCTTCAGTGCTAAGGGCTATTGATTATCAGTGTTAATGCTACTTACTGCAACCAGTCCATCTTAATTTGACTGTTTACTCCTTCATAAACCTGGGTATTACCTTGAAATTACTTGTACACAAGAGTAAATTACTCGGCCATTAGGCATTCTCAGGAGTACAATAACAAATGCATCAGAAGCCAGACTGCAAACCCAAATGCTGTTGCCACGAGCTGTGTTTGTTTACCGTGACTCGGCGTTTCTGCCGTCGCCGTATTCTCTGTGGTCACGTCAGACTCGAGTGCTTCACAGGCACCTTCATCAGGAGCTCCGGTCCTTCGTCACACAGAGCTACCCAGAGAGAAGTAAGCTTCCCTTTTAACGTAACGGTCTTCATAATGACTGAGAATAAAGTGATTCTGGAAGGTAACACTGTAATTAAAATTCACTACATTAATCAAAAAAAAAAATTATTAATAATGGCGCACATTTTAGAATTGAGAATACGATAAAAATACATAAGACTAACAAGAACAACGACCAGATTATACAGGAATTTCAAGAACCAGTTAAAAAACTTTGACCGAACGTTGTGTGGTTTTCTTCCCCCACCTTCGAAAAAACAAGAGAAACTGGTTCTCGCAAAATAACACCCTAGATTCCATACTGGAAGTTATGGAGTGGCTGGACAAGCCTCCAGCTCCCGCATGTGTGGCCCTTCACTCGGCGCCGAGGGGCCACGTGTTCAGAAAATCCCGCTAAGGACCAGTCACAGGTTAACACATCCCAGGGCCACCAGGGTCACGGTGCGCCTGCACGTGTCATTTGTCACCGCTTCTCACAATGGGCTCCTTCAGCGTTAAGGGCGGCGTTTACACTAAAGTGATGCGACCTCCCATCCCCGACACCAAACATCTCAGATCAAACCAGACCATTTCTTTCTATTACTTCCCGCCCCCCACCTTCCGTCAAATTCATCTAACGAATAAACCCGTCTGCACACATGTGGGGAATAAAAAAAGAAAGAAAAAATAACAACCACATCCTACTAGCTTGCGGTTTATGAACTGCAGCCTATTAAGAGGCGAGTGGAGTAATTAAGTCTGGAGAACAACTGGAGATAAAAACCAAAGAACACCACCCTCAAGAGTCTGGGGAAGGGTAGAGGCATTGTGGCGAACACTACTATGAAGAGTCCTTACCTCTTATTGCTGTTTACGTGGCCCTTATAGCTGTTTGACAAAAAAGCCATGACCTAAACACCACAGAACAGGCATGAAGAGCCCTCCCCCAAGCAACTGGCTACTTATAGGTCTAAGTAAAAATTCCACAAAAAAATACAATGTTCCAAATCCATTCTACTGTACATCCTTCAGCCCATCTGTCTCAAACCCAGTCTAGGTTATTTATAGGTCACCAGGTCATGAGGTCGTCTTTGGAATCACAGCAGCAGCCTGCAGGCATCGTGACGTGCTGAAACGTGTTCAGCTTGTGTCTAACCACATTAAGCTAGCCTCCTCACTAAAATATAATTAAACCAAGTTAGCTAAATTTATACACAAATATTACTATCAATTCATGCCAACACTGGGGAAAAGTTTTATTCATTATAACCTTAGAAAAAAACTTGACTTGATTCTTTAGGTCTTCAAGCCTTAAATGTGACCGAACCCTCCGCCCGTGACCGGCACTTAAATCACGACTGAACGGAACGGTCATGGTCGAGGGACCTGGCTGCCGGCAGCAGGAGACACGCCCTAAATCAGAGCCGCCATGCTATTGCTGAGTGTTCGTGTGTGTGTGTGGGTCAGACACACATTGCATTGTGGGGACCAAACATCTCCACAATGTGATAAAGACCTGTTGTTTTTAACGCTGTGGGGACCATTTTTTTAGTCCCCACAAAGGGAAATTCAATTTTATAAAAATCTATGAATGCAATCAAAAAACTAACAATGTCAAAAGACTAGCATTTTGTTATTTACTTATGGTTAAGGTTAGGGCTGGGATTAGGGTTTTGCCCATAGAAATGAATGGACAGTCCCCATAAAAAATACAAATGCAAACATGTGTGTGTGTATGTATCTGTGTGTGTGTGTGTGTGTGTGTGTGTGGTTGGCAGGTGACACACCGGAGGAAGGACCCGCCCTCAGGCTTACCTTAACGAGAAAAAGTTCACGGCCGGGTGGCGAAAATCAAAACGCGGGGGAAGGCGGGGAAGACTGAGCACGACAGGAGGGGTAAATAAAACATGGCCGCTGATGCGCGTGAGCCGGCCACTTAACACAGGCTGTTAACAGGAAAGGCAGAGGCGGCCTCGCCGACGGGCCACAGTTAGTGGCCAGCCGACACTTAATAAT